CTAGTAGAGCCTAGGAATGGGGGCAGAAAGGACAGGGTGGTAATGCACACCTTTAATCCCAGCACTTGGGAGGCAGAGGCAGGCGGATCTCTGAGTTCAAGGCCAGCCTGGTCTACAGAGTGAGTTCCAGGACAGCCAGGGCTACACAGAGAAACCCTGTCTCAAACAACAATAGCATAAGAAAGGCAGGGACAGGAGTGTGGGCCCATATCCTGCAGGCAACCCCTGCAGTGGATTGAGGGGAGGGTCACTGCTTGCTAAGGCCCAGGGTTTCCACACCCCGTGTTTTACAGACTGTATCTGGTATAATGTGTCTTGAGACGAGGGGTGGAAAGACAGTAATGGACACCCTAGCAAAGAGGGGGGCTGGGTAGTCACATGTTTTACCACTGAGCTGTACGCTCTAGAGAGAAACTCTGGCTGGCAGACTGCATGGGAGTGTCTGTTCTTCCTTGGGGATGCTGGGGTGAAGTCCCTATATTGAGCAGACACTACAAAGAATAACAGGCTTTGGGGAGCAGCCATGGATGGGGAGTCTGTCAGTACAACATCCTGCCTGAACTGCCTGGACCACCCCAGTTTGTGACCCGTTCTGTTCTGTTCTGTTCTGTTCCTCCCCTGGTTACCCATTATTGGCCTCAAAAGCCAGGGTGGGAATGGGGTTTGTAGAGACCTTGCCTCAAAAAAGCAAAACAAGGGAAAGAAGAAAGAGAAAGAGGAGGAGAGAAAGAAAGAGAAAAGGCATAAGCTCCCCCCATCCCCCGGGGATGGTGAGGGAGCAGGATGTGTGTAGACTTCACAAGGGTGTGGTGCTGTGTAGCTATGCCACCCAAAATATCTGAAGCTTTCTTACCTCTCTCTACCTGTCCCTGACTACCTGTGTCCCCCTGCTTGGGCCTTGGGTTGAGAGTCACCGAGCTGAGAACTCTCCTCACCCTGGCTTGGCCCCCAGCAAGTCATGTTATTTCGGGTTAGTCACTCAACCTCTTGGCCTGAAACTTCCACATCTGTAAAATGAGAAGTGGCTTCTGTCCACACCTTCATCCCCCTCCCCTTCCTGGCACCGGCCTCAAACGACCTGGCTGGCAACCTGAGCAGAAAGCAGGGCGAGCAAGCGGGGATGGGCTGCCACGGTGTGGAGCTGAAAGGAGGAGAGAGGAAGTGGCCAAGCTCACACCTCCTCCTGCCCCAGAACAGATCCACCCTCTCTCACCCAGTTAGCCTGCTGGAGATGTGGGGGGAGGGGAACTCTCCTGCCTCAGCCACTGTCTCTGACTGCTTACCCTCTCCTAGGATCTCCTCATGTATTCTGAGATTCAGCTACTGTCCAAATACTATTTAGCCAGAGTCTAGAATCTTAGTTTCATCCTAGACTGGCTGTCCGGTATTTCTTCTGAGCCTCATGTCTAGGCTTTAGAGCAGGAGAAGGTGGCTTCCATGCACACACAGTGTATGGTGTCTCCCAGGCTGCACGGGAAAGGTCCTGTCAGAACTGCTCTACCACCTCCATGAGGCTCTCTGTTAATGGCTCAGTACCCAGCCTCCGGTTCTCTGTCCCTCTGATGTCTCATCTTCTGTTGTTGTGTACCTAGTCTCCTGCCAAGTCCTGACAACCCTGTTCAGGCTCTTTCTAGTTTTAGAAACCTTGATTTCCAGTCTCCAAACCTTACAGTGATGTGTTAGATCCGTGGCTCTGTCTGAAGTGTTTTACCCTCCCCAGCCAGCTTGGTACTCACAGCCTTCCGTGCACAGAAGAGAAAGGTCAAGCAAATGTATCTTGTTCAGGACTAGGGCTGGGGCCTCAGAAAGCTGTTCCAGTCCCTAGGCTTTGAGCTTGCCACCAATTCTGTTACAATGTCTACAAGTCTGATGCTGCACCTTCTTACTCCTATCACACATACACACACACACACACACCCGCCCCCCATCCTTGTAGAAGACAAGTCTCTAACAACCAATCCGCTACAGCAGTTTCATCTTTGTGAAAGCTGTCTTTGAACGTGTCATTATCTCCATCAAAACACTTGCAACTTAATCATCGGCCGGATTGAGGACCCAAGGATGGGACCCCAGGACTGCCCCAGCTGGGGATCCCCTTGCTGGTCCCTGTCCTTTCCAGCACTGGTTCCTCTTAGCAGTCCTGTCCTGCTTGTCCACGCTTCCTGCTTAGGGAGGGCAGAGCCCTGAATGCGGTGGAAGGCTCCTTGCAGCAAGGCTGATGATTACCACTGTGGAAGCCTTTTTTAAAAAAAAAAATAATTAATTAATTTTTTCCCCTTCCCTTCTCCCTCTTGCTCTACCCCACTCACTCCAGGCCCTGCTCGCTCTGGCCCAAAGGTTTGTTATTTATTTATTATATGTAAGTACACTGTAGCTGTCTTCAGACATTAGGGATGGTCGTGGGCCACCATGTGGTTGCTGGAATTTGAACTCATGAGCAGTTAGTGCTCTTAACCGCTGATTCATCTGTCCAGTCCCATTGTGGGAGTCTTAAGGAGTACCAGTTAGCTAACACCAAAGGCTAATTGCATCCTGAATGTTCTTTTGGTTAAACCAGTGGTTCTCAACCTTCCCAATGCCACCCTTTGATACAGTTTCTCATGTTGTGGTGACCCCCCAACCATAAAATTATTTCATCGCTACTTCATAACGTAATTTTGCTACTGTTACGAATCATAATATAAACATCTGTGTTTTCTGCTGGTCCTGGGCGACCCTATGAAAGAAAGGGCCATTTGACTCCCCCAAAAGGGGTCATGACCCACAGATTGAGAACCACTGTGTTAAACCCTTTCCATGCATGGTCACTGAATCTCTCTGTGGGCCACTGAGATCAACTCTAAAACTGTGCCCATTTTTAAATACGGAGGAAACAGGAGACTCTGGGTGGGGACCTCGTTAGTCATGCAGCTTTGCCGTACAGTGCAGGATCTGCTCTGTCTTATGCTTTGACATCACATCTAATGCCTTCAGATACGACGGTCCACACAATGGCAGTGCCACTTGTACTGGTGATGCCAAAACATCTGAAAACATGAGGATGTTCATAACATCCCTCCCTCGCTTCAGCATTCTCAGGCCACTTGCCTTTAGTTCCCAAATGTTCTCGTACTCTCTGTGCCATACACCTTTTTAACCGGTAGGTACATAGCAATGTAAAGCACCCCCAAATTACTGCGCTGATACCCTAGTGGGTGGTGATGGGGGAAAGAGAACTAAACAAAACCAATGTGAGTCTGAGGTAACAATTGCCACTGGAAACAGTAATGGTGGATGGGAACTAAAAGGAGGGGCCATCATGCCGGGGGGGGGGTGCTAAAGGATGAGGGAGAGTGCCCCACTAAGACTGTATCTCAGCAGCCCTATCTGAAGCAAGCAAGGAATCAAGATTCAGGGTGCCCTGGGTAACAGGCCCTGAGGTGAGTCTGTTTGCTCTCATCCAGGAAGAGCACAGCCTGCACCGCTGACTTCAGGCTCCCCGCAGGCTCCCCTGCACGCTGGCTGTCTGAGAAATGTTACTGGTAACAATCCATTTGAGAGCTTTTCACACATCTGCAGCGGAAAAAACCTGCTACAGTAAGATCAATGCTGAGACAAAGACTCCCACGGAGCTGGGAGCTGCACTGATGCTCAGAAACTATGTAACAAGAGTAGTAAAGCCCGCACAGGGGCTTCCTGAGGGAAGGATACAAGTGTTGAGAGGGAGGGCGTCGGCTAGTCGTAAGCAGCAGTGCTAGGAGCCAGGGATAACCTGGAAGAGGTGAGCTTGGCATGCAGGGGCTAGGGACTACATGACTGAAGGGCAGAAAGCTATCCGCCAGTCTCTCTCCAGGATTTATTTCCTACCTTCTAGGAGATTTGAGCCTCTATCCTGCTCTCAGTGCCAATCCTGGACCTCTAGGAGACAGGGGATAGCGTAGTCAGCTTCTGTGGCTTCTCACAGCTCCCACCCAGGCAGAACTAGTGTTCACTGTGCTCTTGCCACCATTACCCACACGGCTTTGCAACCAATGGAGAATACAGTCCTGCTCTTAGCCTCCTTCTCCTAGAGAGATGCTGCAGCTCAGACAGGGTAAGACCCTTGCCAAGGTCACACAGCCAGCAGCTGACTAAGTTGGGGCTTGAGCCCAGCTCTTGAGTATCTGAATCTCACAAGGGCACTGTGGAAACTGCAGAGAGTGGGGGTTGGTGTTGACTGAGCCCCGAGGACAAGGCTAAAGGAAGGGGTAGGTGGACAGTGGAATGGAGAGAGGATGGAATTAAAATGATGGACCAAGGAGGAGCTTTGAGACAGAGCTTGCCATGTCTCCAGAAGTACCTGTCTCAACAAGGTTGAAAGAGACAGAAACTGCATTCTCCCAGATAAGCCATGAGACAGGGTGTGTGTGTGTGGGGGGGGGACTATTGCTCTCATTTTACATGTGGGAAAACCAGAGCAAGGAGATATGGCGGGGGTTGGGTGTGTGTGTGTCGGGGGGAAGACACTGGCTAAGGCCCGGGAGCCCTGGTAGGAGTCAGATTAGAGACAATCCATCCAGAACGTTCTCAGTCTATGGTGAACAATGAAACAGACGATGAGAGGGGTGTGGAGATGGAGACAAATTGAGGCCATCCGAACAGGGAGGGGGAACAAGGCCGAGGCTGGTGGCTGCTTGCGCTGAGACGAGGCCCTTATACAAGCTCTGTACACTGGCAGACGGAATCAGCTGGTCGGGTGTCAGGCAGTCCTGGTGCCTCCTCCCACCCCCGCGGACCCATCCACCTGCTGCTTCACAATGCAATGCTCCCCGATCCCCTGGGGTGACAGAAGTGTGTGGGAGAAGCAGAGGAGGCCAAAGCGCATGTCTTGCCCCCGCTCACAGGTCCGCAGCATCCTGCGTCCTCAGCAGCATCCTCCTCCCAGGCCCTCCCCCTCCCCCGTGTGCGGATGGTACGCTCCGGTAAGCCTGGCCGGGTTGCAGTGGATGTTGCTAGAATCCACGCGGAGGAAAGAAGAGACGCAGGCAGGCTGCGGTGACCCAAGCGGCCACCCCCGCTTCAGGGACCCCTTCCTCGAGAGACGACATCATGACCCAGGGAAAGGTAGGGGCATGTCCCCGCCGTCTGCACCATCCTCCACTCTCTGGACCCCTACTTCCCTGCCATCCTGGGAAAGCTTTCTGAGCCACTTTAAGCATCCTCTCCTGGCTCCAGTGCAAAGGTCCTTGTGGTCTTTTGCTTATGTCAAGAGGACTAAACAGCCCGTTTCAAGGAATAGGCTTAGGACTTTTCCCAACCCGAAGGCTCTACTCCCCTCTTCCGTCTCCCACCCCTTGCTGTGGCATTACAGAACTTAGCCCCTTGGGCCCTGTTAGGAGGCAGACTGGGTGAAAAAGGGAGAGAGAGAGAGAGAGAGAGAGAGAGAGAGAGAGAGAGAGAGAGAG